TATATATATATATATATATATATATATTAAAAGATCATATCTCCATAATAAAAATAAGGTAATTAGAACGTATTATTGTATGTTTTTAATATATAAATTAATAATATTGGATGGTATTGTGAACAATAATTGAGGTGTAGCATGATGTGGGTAAAATGTTGATAAACTTTTGGAGTATACGAAAGGGTACCCACAAAAACGTACGGCCAGGATCAGATCTATTGTCAGCGGGGCCAGGTGATGACACCTATTTTTCTCTGCCCACAAGAATGGATGGAGATTGGGGACAATATCAGATATACCACAATATATTTAGTACTATATTTACAAGTATATAACAGGCAAAGGTTGAGACAACTATACTTTGTATTTTTTTCTCTATTCGTATTGATGCCTTGATTATATTTAGATTCAAGCGCCACATAGGGTCCTATTCGGGGAATAAAAAATGCTCCTTATCAAAGTATTTTTTATACTCAACTTAAATCTAAAATCTCTAATTAAGGAAGGAACAATCTCACTCCCTACACCACATCATGTACATGTATACAACATAATAAGATTATATTGTATTCTGGTACTAGTAATTTAGTGCATGTGATTCCTTCCTAATTAAGCTGTTATATTGATGATTGCATTTAATCCACCCCACCCCACCCCCTTTGTGGTGTGATCCACTTACAATATAGAAGTATATATTATTCTTCTCCCCTGCATTATATGAGAGTACAACTATATATTATAAAATTAAAAAATATGTTATCGTGATTAGAAAATGTTTAAGTATGATGTGCACTGCTGGACTTGTCTGGGGGCATCTCTTTCACAAAACTCAAACCACATTGGCTAAGGGGACTGGATTTGTTTGGCATGCTTCCTCCCTAGTCCCCCCCCTACATACCTGTTTCACCTTTTTTTTTCTATCAAACTCCAAAAATACAACAACATTTGCTTTGATTTCTGTGTGATAAATGAGAATCTTAAATTCTTCCTCATCAGTCCTAATAATGCTATTTTATTCTTTCCTCTTTTAATTTTTTATATATATTTCCTTGGGGGTGCTCACTTTGGCAGTATATACTAGAGGCAAAATTAAAAGTGGGATGTTAATAAACTCCCTCAAACAAAAAAAGCCTAAAAGTCTCCAAGTTTGGTTTGTAAACTCCTCAAAGTTCTTCTATTCGATCAATAAAGTACAACGTTACAGGTAAAGACACTCAATTCAATCATAGAAAACATGTAGTTTTTCTTGTTCTTTCTTTCTTTGATATAATCTAAGTTTATTGTTACGAGTTATTAACTTAATTTACATGAACACGGTTGCATGCTTAGCGTCGATCGACTACGAAAATTATCAAAAATATTTCATCTGGTTATTAATTAATAGCTAGCAATTGATACACGGAATGGAATTATATGCTTTCTAATTACCTATCAAATGAAAACTAAAATATCGAAAACGTATTAACAAAAAAAAAGTAGTGAGAAGCATGTGGCATGCTGTAAACTACTTACTTGTAACATAGAACTGGTAAAAGAGAATAGTATAATTTGTCAAAAAATATCTGTATTTTTCTTAGGATATATGAATTAACTTGATTTTACAAGAATATTACTACTGTTGTTATGATAGTGATATATATATATATAATGCTAGTATTATTATTATTATTGGTGTGGCCCAAATTGACAGTAATTTGTATGGAAAAGAACGAACAATAAAAACAAACAAAATCACACATGCCAAAATATGGGTACTGCATTAATCTCCTTCAGTCATCAAAAGATTGTGCAATAAATTGGGAAGCTTGATATTTTCTTAGATCATAGCCTTTAACGTCTATCAACTTCTTTTGTATTATTATTAGTACAACAATTAAATGCCTACTATTTCTTTATTCAATAAAAAATCTTACTTGATTTCTGCTTCTTTTAGCTAGGTACTAATATACATTCCCAATTCCGGAGATATATTGAGTCAAACATCGTTTTATTTCTTCGGTTTTAAAAATGGAGAAGCTTATCAATCCATACGATAAGGAATACATGAAGATGGCGATGTTAAAGCATGAAGAGATATTCAGAGAACAGGTAAATTTATTTTATGTTCATTCTGAATCGACTGACTCTAGATTTTATATATTAATTAGTTATAACGACATGTGTTTTGTCAGGTGTATGAACTTCATCGTCTATATCAAACACAGAAATTACTGATGAAAAATATGTCAAATAGTACTAATCGGCCTCAACAAGATCATCATCATCAAGTAGTGGTCAACCATTTAGATTCAAACAAAAAGATCACTGGTCGTCAATGTATTGACTTGGAAATAAAGCCAAATACAGATGAAGAACACATTGCAGAATCAGATGAATTGGAATTAACTTTAGGGCTATCAAGTTACAACGTTCGTCGAAGGAGAAAAACAGCTCATTTTGATTCTTCTTCACCAAGTTTTTCTTCATCTAATTCAACAGGATCTGCTTCTAGCCAAATAAAGCATATTACAACAAATTTAGTGAGGAATATTGAAGGTAGTAAATGGGGACTTGACGAGAAATTACCCGTTTCGAATAATTTCCAGATTGGTGGAAGAACGTCACAAAGTAATCAAAATGTTGATCAAGAGCAATATAGATCACAAGATTCGTTGAATAATCCTCCTTGGCTTTTTCAAGTTTTGAGTTTGAATATGACGTGAAAAAAATGTATTATTAAATTATGATGCTGATGATTAATTAATTATATTAGTCGATCGGATGTGATAAGATTTTAGACTTTCATCCTACCGATCAACTACTTGTGTAATTTAATTTGTGTGAAATTTTAGTATGATCTTTTGTTTAATTTCTCCAGTTATAGTACTCTATTAATATTCTAATCTCTTTGCTTAATTTGCTAACGGTATTTTTGTGATTCAAGTGCCAAACAAAGTTGATTTGGATATGTATATAATTGTCCAGTTGTCTGTACTTATTAGCTCACAAAAAATATCTACAATCTGTGTATTTGTTTGCCCTACAAGAGAATTGAGTCTGTTTCTTTTTTAAATTCATATATACCGGTACCTTGTTGGTTTGTTTGACCAAGTTTCATTGAGGTTAAAATTTTGAAGAAAACATCGTGACTAATTTTGAGTTAAAAATCAAAGTTGAGTGACCTTCTAAGAAAAGAGTTTATAGTTGAATGACCATTTATGATATTATCTCCAAGATTTGATCGTATTTGACTAATAATAAGATAAAATTAGTTAACAACATGTAATAAGTTGATGAAGAAGAAACTTCAAAAGGATTTTGAGTCATTTTAACATGATATACTAATTACTCATTATTAGTTTCGACATTTCTTTCAAAGAGTAACTATTTATTTAGAAAAGAAAATTTAACATTTTAAAGTACTTTTTAAACTTGAGACTTATCAACTAATCCCTTTCGATGAATCAAATCAAATAGGCTTTTGTGTCTAAATAGAATAGAAAACCCCAGCAAAAGGAATAATCCAAGTTCTTAAAGAAATAAATAAATATTGATGATCAATTATTTAGGTTCATTGTACTAATAATTAAAAACTCTTCATCTATGACATAATCTCCAACTTGGATGTCCATTTAACAAACATAAAAAGGGTTAAGAGCTAGCTAGATTTGTGATAATATATTTAAGGAATCTGATCTAAACAGACTTAAATTGTTAATTATTTCCACTTAAATGGGATGTGATGGGAAAAAAAGAAAGAAAAGAATAAGATGATTCTTAATTAAAAAAATTTGTAAGTAATTAATTGTAAGTCGTTTTCCACCAACCACATGGAAGCTACTCCTACCAACAGTTTGAGTAGGAATTGCTATAGTTTTGTCTGCCACCAAATGAACATTAGATTCCCAATCCAAATAAATAAAAGCTTCTCTATGCAATAATATATACTGGCGGGATGATCACTTTTTTTCTTTTTTTTCTTCTGATCTCAAAAGTTAACGAAGCATCTGTTATTTCAAAAGCATACACTTTGTTTTATTGTCATGATGAAAAAAGGATTAATCATTTGGCTTCTCAGTTCCTTGTCTAATTACACGTACCCACGCGTACGTCTTACTCCAGGGGCGGAGCTACCTTTGTCCGAGACAAGGCCCTCTCGAGGGCCAAGCAAGTAAAGCCATTGCTTTAGGTCTCGGAAAAGTTTAGGCCCCAAAAATTATATACATCGTATATATTATTTTATTTGACATTTTGTTTAGTCTGTTTCAAAAATAAATAGGATAACTTTTTATAATTTTTTAATGACAAGTTTTTATAGTCATAACGATATGTTTATGATTAAAAGTATCCAAAGTTTTATAGTCACACAAACATTATATCACTCTTTAAATAGCTTAATGGACTAAATTTAAATTTGAAGAGCTCTCAGAAAGGCCATACGATGCAAACAATGCAATGCAAGCTTCTCTAGCCCCTCAAAAATTACATCTAAAATTCATCTATATATAGTACTACCGTAGCTTTCTATTTCCTTCTTTTACACTTTTTTAAAAAAAATCTTCATAGATGTATATTAAATATTGTTATTTATAAGAATTAAACATCAACTGATAATGTGGATCTGGTTATTCAATACTCATGGGAAAAAAATAATTAATCATGTTGCATCTTAAAGAGTTGAGAAAATAACCTTTGAAATTTTTACTTTTTATTTTTTGGTTTTTAACCCGGTGTCCGGAGACCGCATTAGATCTCTGACTAAATCCAAATCGTGCACTACATGACCCATTCGAGGGTGGTGATCCCAATAGAATTTTCTCCAAACTCAAGATGTATCTTTATATATGTATATCTATGATATTTTGATTTATTTATTTTTTTACTTTTTTATATATCAACTCCTCTCCCTTTGATGAAAATTTCGGCTCAACCATTATTCAATCCTCTACTCCGCCATGCGTTTTCAGTTTTAACGCACAAACCGATTTAAGGGAAGTTCTGAGAGATAAATTGCGCCCATAGCTTTCAGCTAGAATAATGTGTACGTATGGAAATAAATTTAAGATGTGAATGTTGAACTCACTGACTTTGGATCATGAATTTCGCCTCCATCCAAAAAGCTCATGATAATTTGAGCTACTAATGAAACACAATAAATAGTACTTTCAGCAGAAAATATTCAGCATTTGAATTAAATTAATCCATAATCCGTACTAATGTTGGATCCTGAAAGCCTTGTGTATAGAGGGAGAGTACCAACTTCTCCTAAAATCTTCAGCATAATCTAAATATTAAGCTGTTGTTTGTCAGTCATTAGTTAACCCCCATTTTCCATACAGATTAAACCAAATCTAATCTTGATTTCGATCATGCCCATGTTTCTTGATTCTGGACACTGGAAAATGACAAATCTTTCATAGATAATGCACATGGAAAATATTTCTGGATTAAAGCACGACATAATATAAACTTTACCAATTACCATATAAACTTGCATCATTAAATTTAAAATTAAATTTTGAATGCAGTACCGTACCATATTTAGACAATAATACAAATATAGCTAGCTCAAATCATGATATGGAATGACGTCTATCTTTGCTTGGTTTATTTCGAGTTTTGCCTGCGTGAGTCCATCAGCTCGAATAAATCTTCCGAGCTTTTTCGAGACTGAGCTCATGAAGTTAGATTTTCTTGGCAAAGGAGGTTTACCAGCAGATGGATGAGTGATGACCAAAGGGCTGCTTGTAACTGATCTGTTTGAATTCGGTTTTTCAATTTCCATCAACCTCGTCTTCATTTTCAACAGCTCAAATTTCAGCTCCTGATTTTCTCGTTTTAGACTCGAGACCTCGTCTGAAATGGGGTCAGTAGAGAACTGATGATTCATTTTGGAAGGGACAAGAGCAGGAGGTTTGGTTGCTACAAGATGGCTCCCATCCATGACATTGCGAAGACGTTGCTGCTCATAGTAAAGTACTTGCACAACTGTCTGAACAGGGAGCCTATCATTCTGAGCCGCATGAGCACAAGCTTCTCGAGAGAGCTTTTGACAGTCCATAACACCGCAAACCTTTTTCCTTTCCATGTCGCTTAGAGCTGGATGTGCCTTCAAATTGCAACATCAAAAACATATTAAACACGTCTCCATAGATTAATTGATGTGTTAAAGACATAATTAAGAAAATAAAAGTGTGTTCATGTACTCTCTAGTAGCTAGTTCAACTTTTTACTTAAGAATTAAGACGGTCACACAATTCAACAATAAGAAGATCATGTTAGCTTGGTTTAAGAGTTCCGCGCTTTTTATTCTGTATTTTTATTTTTATTTTTGATAACCGAGAAATCCGTCTGTGACCCGCCCTTTGGACCATCACAGCCTTCTAAACTCGGTGGATAATGGGCCCGCCCCTCTACCCTTCTCCACTTAAATACCGGGCTTCGCTTTGCATGGTGTGGGGCTTGAACCTGCGACCTAAGCCACAAATCCTCCACCTTTTATTCTGTATTTTAACAAGCTTAAACCTTCTGATCAAGTTCAACTCATTGCTCAAGAATATATTTGTTGTACTGACAACATGATGTGTGAAGGTCGTCAAATGGGCTACATGGTTTATATCTTGTTATTATGTAACTCAGCAGGAATAAGATTTGGAGCTTCAGCACTAAAAAACGTATTGAGTCCACCCTCATCTTTAGAAAGAGTAACAGGGGAGGTGCAGGTTGCACATCTTTGAGCACATATACAAGCGTCTTCTTTAGGATGAGATACCCAATATGAAATACATGAATGGATTTCAGTTTCATAACATCCGTCAGTGGCACTCAGTGCATAGAACTAAGACTAGTTTTTATACTCAATACCATGTGTATAGGCATGCCAAATTCTTATATATACCATGCTTATACAAAGATTAGGAAAGTTTTTACATTGTCGGTGCATAGAACTTAATAAAATAAGTATAGGCATGCCAACTCTTTAGGAAGTTATTTCTCCCTAGTTAACATTCTAATTTGAAATGATAGAGCAAGACCTCAAGTATAAGCACATGCACAACAAAGACTGCAACATACAGGACAAAACAAACCGCCGCCATATTGTAGAGATAATCCTCTGCAGGCAGAAGAGATGGCCCGTGATCTTTGGGGAGCTAAGATTGTTGTAGGATAAAGGGATACAAGACATGGGTGATTGGGACAAAATCATAAGGCTGGTCGTGCAATGCCTGCAAATTGTGTCTTTGGAGAGTTAAGATTGTAAAGATAACCGGTTTTTCATTGATGACATATTGTCCGATTTAGTATATTCCCAAAAAGTTCATCAGTCTGAATTAGGCCCATAACTCCAGTGATCAGAGAACATAGAAGCATATAAATATCCCTTTACATAGTCTACTAGAACATCAAAAGCTTAGGTTCAGATGCATTTCCCTAATAAAGGGATACTATCATCTTTCTCAAAAAAAATAAAGGGATACTATCATGCTAGCACCAGAAGGGTGCACTGTTAAGGAAATTATCTGACTCAAGATTATTAAATTTAGCATACAATTACCATGTAGCAGTCAGGACCAAAAGTTCTTTTCCATTACTAAACATGGCCTAAAATTCTAAATAAATGAAAATGTTGCTTGTATGCGTAAATATGCACAAATAAACTTAGAACTAATCAGGTAATTTCATCGCACATACCTTAAAATAAATGTCAATGGCCCTGTACATCCCATCTTCAGTGATTCTTTCTTGCTCTGGAATGACTTCAGCAAGATTAATGAAGCTTGTGATGGATAGATTACGGTCAGAAGCTATTTCAGCAAGGTAATTTTCCATAAGTTTCCCAACCTGCTCCATGTCTCTTAATGAATGAGACTCATTATATTCTTCATCTCCCAATCGATTTTCCTCCATATCAGGGTCAAGGAAATTCATCATAATACGCTGCATGGTTTCAACATCAAACAAAGTGTCCCCTGTGAAGGAATATGAAGGAATTAACAGATCATCCAATACAGCCTGTCCAAGCTGCAATGCCATCCTCTTCTCCAAGTCGACCTGCAAGCAATCGTGGTCTGCAGATATATTGCAGCTCGGAGCAGCATTGACAGAAAGCTAACGGACAATGCATTTTTCTCCCTTGGCAGAAGACCAACGATGGTTTCTAAAACAACCCTTTTTTCATGTTCTTGTTTTGGTTCAATCTTTTTCCTTCCCTTTCCAAATATTTCCTGTAATAAACAAAAAATTACTATATGCATAAAGATTTTATTTCAACCAATTCATCAAGATTTTACAGTACAAGGCCTCACCAAACATTGAAGAGACATCTGTGCATACAGCATTAATATTGGTCCACGTGCATACTGCTTGAATCCCCTTCCCATCATTGCAATCAGAACCCTTTGGAAAAAATAAATTCTAAGAACGGTTAAATCCTCAGACCACCAGTCAACTATAGGCTTCGGGTTTGAAAACATGGATGAAGTCAATCCGTTGATACCAGCTTCTGCTCTACCTGATGTGGAGAATTGGTTATCCTTACAGGCTATATATGCAATTGTGTCTATGCATCGACTCACCAATTTTACTTTCACTGCAATGGGAATAAGATTTTCTGATGAATGCAAAATTGTAACTGCACCAGCAATGCTCTTAATTGCTACTTCACTAAAGTAGGCCTCAGTTCTTCCCACCAAATTTGCAACTGCATAGTCTTCTGTCATCTCAAGATATTCCGCCACACATCTCAGCAAGGCAATGTTTTCTGTGCTCATCTCAAAATTTATTCCATAACAAAACTTTGCTGCAAATTCAAACGCCTCCCCTCCACCGGGTATATCAGGGATTTCGATTGTAGAAACGTCAGCATCATTGGATTCCAAGACCAACTTCCCTATGTATCCACTCTTTGAAACTAATGGGAACTGCAAGGAGCACAGTTAATACATTATTAAACCTACTGATTCAATCATCAAAAGAAGAAACTCAAGGTGTGAACAAGGCCTTAACTCCGCCTGTGTGAGCTTGTTCACATTGTCGGTCCCAACATCGGATTAAGGAGGAGGATTGCCCAGGGTCAATCGGAACGTCTCTATCCCATAAAGGTAGGGTTAAGGCTGCGTACATCTTAGGAATTGGGATTACACTGAGTTTGCTATTGTTGTTGTAAGATGTGACCAAGGGACGATAATTTCAATCCAATTAGGAATTTAACTAAAACCAAACAACAATTTGGATTGTGCACCAAGTTCAGTTATAACTTGTTATGACTTATGACGAAAGCAGAGAAAAATAACGCACCTTGTGCAGTGTAAAGGAGATTCCTCCGGCATTTATAGTAACATCACTTGGGATCTCTTGGGAGAAAATCCTGTTAAGATAGATTATTATTTAGGCGAGTAATTTGGAAAACAGAATAATGATTCTATAATATATGGAAGAGGCTACTTTATGAAAGCAGAAAATAAAGAAGTCAAAAGAAGAGCATACCATTCAGAGGTCCTCTTCTTAGCAGAGGAAAGAAGCTCCTTCTTTTTAGTGGACATATTGTTTACAGTAGAGGGTTGTTCATTATCAAGATCAACATGTCATCCACCATGAGTGATCGAATCTTTTTACGGGCCTTAACCATGTTCATTTGTTTTCCCTTAAAACTATTTCCTAATGAAGCAAACAATAGAAAGACATGTTTGTTGCTCTTTTCTTTACTTCTGTAAGTTAAATTTTTCCCTCATAAGAGCATATAATCAACAATATCTAGCCCCGTAATAATTGCATTATGTATTATCATCTCTCATTATCTATCATGGAATTGGTACAATTCCCATTATAGACCTTGGAAGAAAGTAGCCCCTATAGCAGACATGCCATGCCAGTGGTATTACAGGTATTACGTGAAGGATGAGGGTCAATTATAGTTGAAAAGGATTTAGTTTGTGGACAAAGTTTCAAAGAAAGATGAGAAAATGGCGCCAAAAGACATAGTAGCATTTTCAATGTGGGTGGGGACTATTCTCATCCGTAGAGTTGACAATACCTGTTTTTTTGTTTCATTTTTCATCAATTTTATTCTTGCTTTATAAAGGTACTAGCAAATTAAATTTATTTACCAGTAAAGAAATGCGTAAGTTTATTGTGGCATTTACCTAGTTTTATTTGGCCTTCCATGTCTGCACAAAACCATCGAGGTACATATCGAACCAGCTGATATCAAATTTCGTTTCTTGATATATAAATACTTACTTTAACTATTATTGTTTCCACTCGTGTCCAAAGTAGGTGTGATCGCACCTGCTCTATAACCTAAATCCACCAGTTGAAGGGAGAACACAAGTATTGCAATATTAGTACAAAGCTAGTAAGGATTAATTGGACCCTATACCTGGCTAGGGAATAGTCTCAAATGGAAAGCATATCCACTGAAATTTGTCTGACGAATGATTGCTACGGCAATTGTCAATAATGAATAGCTGGTGTAGGACGTCAATGGGCTCCTCCAGGAATGTTATTTCACATCATATAGTTTAAGATCTTTCATACATAATTAAATTACTTTGACTAATACATCTCTATCAGGAACTATTTTTGGTTGAATTAGGAGAAGTCAGAAGAGATGATTTAGTGCCCGTTTGGATTAACTTATTTTTAGGTACTTTTGATTTATAAGCATTTTTTAAAAGTTTTGGAGGTGTGCTTTTAAGCACTTACTTTTAGGCCAAAAAAGTTTTAAAATAAGCCAAAAGTCAAAAGTAGGGTATCATCTACTTATGACTTTTAGCTTTTGACTTATAAGTTACTTTTTATAAGCCCATCTAAACAATAATCTTACCAATGAATGAATGACACCGAGACAAAATTCTACTGAACTGACAAACTCCAGCCAGTGAATCGCTCAGTTACACTTGCACAGAGACTAGAGAGAACAATTTAAGCAAGGAGCTGCAGATCTTCTTTGTGTATTCTCTTTTTGTTTGCGATAAGACTTACCCCATCTTAGTTTATGTTAAAGGATTACAAAGTGTTTAACTAATGTAATTTTAGTGTCATTTTGCATTTTTTACTAGCTGAGTATCAAAAACAAGGTTTCTTGTAACTAAGATTCGATAAGCAGTGCCCATGTGGAGACAGTGAGACAGAGAAGCACGAACAAGGCCCACTACTACACCAATAATTTTTGGACCAGTTCCAGTTCAGATTCTTGCTGGGTTGGAATCCATATAAGATAAAATCCAGCACAAAAATATTCAAAAAGCGCTAGCTTCAGACACTAGAGACCATAGATACACAATAATATATAAGATGACTGTCATCTACACATTCTTAAGTCCCGAGTCACTAATCTCCAGCTATAAAGATAGCAGAAGCTGCATCGTGGGGATCCTTTATGCTAGATGCTACTTAATTTTGTCCAGACATAAAAAAGTGCCTAAGTTAGCCAAAGAAACATGAAAAATCTATGCATCATAAAGCATATTACTTCCCTACACAAGAATGAAAATAGTAAATTATGCTTTTTTAAGTGCAAAACTATAACTTCCCCACATGCAACCACAATAAAAAATACTAGCTACTAAACAGTCTTGCTGGTTGCCTCGGATCCTCCCTACCCCTCTTTCACTTCTTCAACTATCGGTTAACTCCTATCCTCTTCCACCTTTCAACTAAAACAACTACCAATGACTACGATAATTCAGAATGTTCTCCCATTGTAATGTAGAAGAAAATAAAATAAAAACATCAAACTCTAACATCAGGCAAACAAACCAACAAACAAAAACAAATACCTACCTAATTGAAGTATGCAGTGTGGTAGGTTCAGTAAAGAATTGCTGCTGCTGCAGAGTGTGGATATGTGATCCCTAAGCAAAATGGGCTAAGCATTCAACTGTTCTCCAGAAACCAAAAACTAAAAATTTACAGGAAATGAATTCTATGAGGACAAATGTTGAATCAAAAACATGGGATTACTGAGTGGTTAAGGTATAGGAACAACAACCTGGAGATCCCAGTCATTTTTTACATGACACGGCAGCAGCCAGTGCACAAAGCATCTCGTGTTCACACAGGGATCGAAAAGGGTCACACCCCATGGATGTGATATAGACAGCCTGCCCTAATTCAAGCATTAGTGACTGCTTCCACAGCTCGAACCTGTGACCAGAGACAACTTTTAATGTTGCTCCAAGGCTCCCCTTCAGCCATTTTTCTTACATCTACCTGCATATATCAACTAACCTGATCACTTTTAAAGAATTTTGACACAATCTACCATCTCAGCTTCCACCTTCATGAAATCAGGATTATTTGCAGAAATGACAACGGGACATGGATAATTACTGAATGCACAACTAAAAGATTTTACATTGTATTTTGGAGTGAAGAAATAAATTCCAGAGTTCAAGAAGTCATAAAATTTCGATCAGAGTTGACCAGAAAAACTATGGAATGAATCAAGAATGGAGCTTAAAAATGACTAGAATAAATCAACAATTGCATCTTGAGAGGTACCTGTAACAACACACTTACTTACAACATCGCTATTTATACTAAGACACTTGGGTTGAATCACCAAATTATCCAAAAAAGAAATCCCCCCCCCCCACAAGTATTATCTCTCTCTTCCTCCACCGAGGACCAGCCCAGATCAAGGGTGATCATTGACAAGTCTGATGTTCACTAACCACTAGTATCTGACTGTATCCACAATCAAGCAATTGCAATCTAAACCCATTATTTGGAATGTACTATAACACATGGGCTTGGGGATTTCATATCCAAGAGTTATCCCTTTCGGATGAAGGAAGTCTGTTTACCTCATAATATAGGATGCATAGTGTTTATGGTCAAGAAATTGCATATGCAAGTTCATCAGATAAACAACTGGGTTGAAGAAGTTTATGCTTTACCGATAGTACTGTTCTTTGTGTTACCTTGTTGTATGTGCAATTTTAGGCCATAAGAAAGCTACACTGATAACAACTTAACACTTAGGAATTAAAATATATGACACTTCAGCAGGCCTACTCATGCATTGTGATATACTGATTACAGCTTACAAGAGTCAAGAATATGACAAACTGATTACAGCTTACAAGAGTCAAGAACAAGTCGTTGCAAGTAACCAATTATTTGGTATTACTCTAGTTCACGACAAAAAACACCCCTCCAGTATTATGGGCTTGATTTAGGAGAAGTAAGAGAACACCGATCATGAATAGGGTGACTGAAGAATGGGGGAGTTACTAGACTAACTTAGCACTTAAATGTTTTGCTGATTAAAGAGCAAAAAAAATCTGTCTCTATGAAGAAACCGGTAACGAAAAACTTGAGGAAGAGTGGACTTTATTAGGGCAAGTGTTGATTGAAAGGAGGGTTAAGCTGTCAGTAATTTGCTCTGATGCCATGATCATTATTCTATGCAACTAGGAACAACTTTCTGTAGAAGGAGTGGCGGCCATGCAAAGAGAAGTAGACAGAATCTGAATGAAATGTAAGCTTTATAACAATTGCACAAAATTCCATGAGAACCCCTGCTATGGATGTGGAGAAAACAGAACACATATAATAAAACATTAACACTATTTTCATAAGAAAACCTAAATACTCCAATGATTTCCCAAATAGCAATCTATAGTATTAAGAACATCGCTTCAATTTAGGGTATTTATGAGTCAAGTACTTAAAAAACCTACCAATACTAACAAAAAACAACATCAACTAAGGTTTTCTTTCTCTCAGTTTAGAACCTTAAAAAATCCCATTCTTGTTTGAACTACAAACCCCCCCTTTTAAATGTTTCTTCCTGCATCAACTTATTCATAATTTAAGGTGAAAATTTCTGATTTCGCCACTGTCAATCCCAAGTTTGAGCAACTAATTGAAAACTTACGATGAAAATTTTTCCGATTATACATAAATAAGATGAAAGCGAGGGCTTACCGGACGATCTCCGCTGGAAGTGTTAAGCGCTTCTAAAGAATGGAGGATTTGGCGGTAGCAGAGTGAAAATTTCAGAAGCAGGGAAGCGTAGAGAAGAAGCTATGAGAATTTGGCAAAAATAGTTGCGTATGTTTGACGGTATGTTCAGAATGATACCTTAAATATTCATTTTATAATTTTAGTCCTTTAAATTTGTTATAAAATGACGCCTTAGTACCTGTTAAATATTTAACAATTTATACATAAATTTTGATGAAATTAAATACCAAGAAATACCCATTAAATCTTTAAAAATGCAACATGAAAAATTTATACCAAACACAAAACGATATAAATACGATTATGAAAATGGAAGTGATTTGAAAGATATATCATAAGTTGTTTTCCAAATATTGATGTGGATCAACAAATTAAAACCACTTATTTAATTATAAAATCTTGCACAAAAATATTTATTGTTCACGATTTAATAAAATTTGATCTAAATAAAAAATCAACCTAAAAATATTAAATTCATTAATATTTATTTGGATTTGATTGATTTGATTTTAAAATTTAGAAAATCAATAATATTTGATTTTATTTTATTAAAAAAAATTGAAAAAAAATTAAATCAAACTAAAACAATAAATTATTCATATAATTTTTATAATTATATATATACACACATAATATATTAATTTTATAATCATTTATATACTTTTTCACCATCATCATATTTGTCTCCGATAGGCTAATAAACTATGTATTTTAAGCTATTTAAAAAAATCATAAATTTGAACTCATTTGATCAAGAAATGACTATGAGACATTAAAGTAAAAATCATAAAGACATTTTTTTTTCATATTCCATAATAACAGAATATTAGTGGGAAAAAATGAAAAATTATTTTCTAAATGTAGGGGTGGGGGTGGGGAAGGAGATACATTAGGTTTCTAAAAATAAATAAAAAACGAACTAAACCAAGAAGACAAATTTTAATTTAATATAAAGAAGAAAAATTGAAACTATTTTCAATATGTTAGGGACAAGGGAATAAATCTTAAAACAATCGCAATATCAAAATTAGGCGCTAATAATAATAACTTAATTAATTAACTATTCTAGTAAATGGTCGATATATTTCTAATTAATCCTCTCATCTTTCCTCGATAAGAAGTAGTGATGGATATAGGATTGTAAGGTCATGGGAGCTCTAAAAAAAACATGTTAAAAGTGAGATTCGAATTCAAACTCAACATCACTAACAAGGCCTTAAGGATCTACCAAGAGCCATTAGACTAGTCAGATCATTTGTTCATTGGGTGTTCTATGTTAATTTTATACATATAGCTCTTAATTTCTACAAAGATATATATATTTATATATATATATATATTTCGGTACGAGGTTAATAGGTGCTCGAACACCCAAAAGGCTCTATATGGGTCCACCCCTGATAAAAAAAATGATTTTTCGAATAGACTAAGCTACGACCTATTAGCGAAATATTCAATCTTAACTAGGGGTGGGCATGGTATGGTACGGTACGGTATTTGAAAGTTTCGGTATCGTAATTTCGATATTTGATTTTTAAAACATTATACCATTACCATATCAATTTAATCCGATATGGTTCGGTATATTGAAGTTCAGTTTCGATATTTTACAATATGGTAAATCGGTAACCATAATTTATTCAACTTCGACTAATATATACTCGTATAATAGAGTACTATGACTTCGACAATTAAAAAAATATTTCAATTGTATCATATGTACAAACAACTCATTTTGTTAATTATTTACAATTCAAACACATTTCAATCAAAATAGAGTAGTCAGAATTTTAACTTTTAAACATTCACTTTATACTAATACTGGGCTGCATATTTGTTAAGTAGTATTTTAATAATATATATGTTATTTTTGTAACTATATACTTCGGTATGATATTTCATATTTCGGTATTAAATATCAAATACCGTACTGAATATCAAAAAAAATTAAAGTGTATACCACCAAATACCATAATTTCAAAATTACGCTATTAAATTTTTTGATATGATATTTCGATATATACCATACCAGGCACACCCCTAATATCAACCCTTCCCCTATTCTATTTTTTTTGGTTGGTTAAAAAATAGACGGACCTAATTGATAAATCAGAAAAGTTTCTGACCCTTTAGCGAAAATAATATAAAAACACTTCAATATTAACAAAAGCAAATTAGCCACTTGGCACCGACCATATAAGATATTTCCCTGTAGAGAGTGAAAGGGTCCCAATAGCATACACAAGAGAGAGCAAAAAGCTTTCCCAATCTATGGCTTTTTCCTAAAAATGTTGTGCGCGTTCTGTAAGTAAAGTAGTGTTACTGCTCTGGGGGTTGCGTCAAACAGAAGCTGGGCCCAATTACTCCGCCGCATCTACCCAGCCTGCGTCTTCTTTGTTTCCCCTTTTCCGAAATCCGATACCTTAATCAACAACTCTTCAGTCTCTGATTTCCGATAAAACCATGTCTAAAGCTCGAGTATACACCGATATCAATGTGCTTCGTCCTAGGGAATATTGGGATTACGAATCGCTAACTGTTCAATGGGGGTAAATTTTTTTCCTTATTTAACCCTAATCGCTTTTGATTTTGTTATTAATTTTGGGGGTTTGTATACTGGATGATAGATTGAAATACTTGTATTAGATGCTCTTTGCTACCTTTTTTTTTTTAAAGATTGTTAAGTAAATAATAACATCCACTTCCAGCATCCAAGAAAATAGTTCTTGGTTATGTTTCCTTGTTTTTTTCGGCTGAAAGAAAAAGTGGGTGTTACATAGCATTGTAACATCGACTTACAGCATCCAAGAACATAATTCTTGGTTATGTTTCCTTGTTTTTTTCGTCTGAAAGAAAAGTAGGCGTTACATAGCATTGTAACATCCACTTACAGCATCCAAGTACATAATTCTTGGTTATGTTTGTTTCCTTGTTTTTTTCGTCTGAAAGAAAAGTGGTGGTTACATAGCACTGTGACATCTACTCCACTCCAGGCCTGGGTGAAACCCAAAAACAGATGTTGGGTTTCTTATTACTATTTTTTTGTGTAATAGATAATTGGGTGATCAGTGTTAGATGCTATTTTGGCAAATTCCTGCTATCTTGAACGGAATGACTCAATGAAAACTTTCCTCTTTCACAATGGAAAATATCTATTGGGTTAATGCAAAGCTCCTGTCTAGTCTTGTTGAGCTGAGGCAAGTTTCCTATATTTTATGGCTTCAGATTAGGTTGGGCTTCGAGTCTTTATATGTTTGTTACTTCTCTATTTGCTTCCACATGATTCAATGGATGATAAATATCAAATATTATTTTACCAATTTGTTGAGTTTAAGGATTAGGCGTGTTGGTACACACTAGGCAATGCTTGTGTAAGTCTAGGAACAAGAGTTATATTTAGAACCCTTACTTTAGTGTTGAAAGTTGAATTAATGAGTATTGGAATGACATGTCCCGAAGTGGAGTGGATAATTATAGAGGCTTCATTTAGTTTACACCAATTAGTAGTTTGTTTTTGTTATTGTATCGTTCTGCTGCATTTGTCAAAACGAGAGCATTTTGCTTAACGGGAATTGTAAACTTGTCTTGCTAAAGTGGGAGATTATAGTTTGTTAATCTTGTTTCTAGAGTGCCTTGACCCTTGGCTCAACAATTAGTTTCATCTTTCATAAGTATTGGTTTCATATTTGATCCTATTTGACTTGCTCAACTTTAATGCACCAGCTACATTGTATTATCCTCACTAGTGTCCGTCATATTCATTATTGCAGTGATCAGGATGACTATGAGGTTGTTCGAAAAGTTGGAAGAGGAAAATACAGTGAAGTTTTTGAAGGTATAAATGTTAACAGCAACGAGAAGTGCATAATCAAGATCCTGAAACCTGTTAAGAAGAAAAAGGTACGACGTTCCTTGCATTGTTGAACTTACGGAACTCATACTGCTAGGAAGATACTATGTTTCTTCTTTCTTTTTGGCTGAATTAAGATTTCATTTTTCTGCTTCAAAGGAAAAAAAATGAAGAAGTTTGCAGGAAGACTTCTTATGTAATTCAATACTTATTTTTGTCTGACTTAATATCTATAGATAATCATCAACATTAACAGCCTTAATGGAAGAATCTGTATTTAACTCATATAAAGGGGCTTAATATCTATGGAGAATCATCAACATTGACAGCTTTGATGGAAAAATCTGTATTTAACTCATTAAAAAGCCCACTCTCACTTATCTATTCATGTGTTGATAGCGTGTCAAAGAAATTAGTGAAGTCTCCCTTTTGGAACTTTGGAAAAAATTGTCAGTTATGTTCTCGGTTCTACGAAATGCATAATGCCTAAAATTGGTCAGTTTGTGACATAATCTGGAAAATATTAGCCATCCTCAACAACACAGTACTAGGTTCATCTCTTGATGACATTTTTTGATCAGTTTGGTAGTGTTATGTATCCACTGTTCATATACCTTTTTTCCTCCTATCCTCTCTTTAACTTAATTTTTATATAACACAGTTTTAGTTTGTAATATTGTGCTTTCTATTGGAAAAAAAACAAAAAAGACTATTCATGCTTTTGACTTGACATTAGTGGTGTTTTGTAGATCAAAAGAGAGATAAAGATATTGCAAAACCTCTGTGGTGGACCAAACATTGTCAAACTCCTTGATATTGTCAGAGATCAGCATTCAAAAACTCCAAGCTTGATTTTTGAGTACGTTAACAGCACAGATTTCAAGGTTTTGTACCCAACGCTAACAGATTACGACATACGGTACTACATATATGAGCTTCTCAAGGTAAGATGACAAACCCATTAGATGGCAGTCACTATGGCTTTTATGTACATATGCTCCCTCTCCCCTGACCTTCCTTTTTTTATTTTTTGAGGAAGGTAACAGTTATATACTTCCTGTCCTCTTGGTCCTTCTTTTCTGTATCTTCTTTCTTCTCTCAGAACCAAGAATAGAGTTGTACTTATAACTCATGTCTTAACTTATTATCTGGTCAAAAGTTTGTCTGCCTCCAAACTTCCTTCTATTGCAGCTTTTCAAGGTTTGTATGAGTATGAGGATTTTGGGAGTCCCCAGT